TTTTTTTTAAATCATGATCCTGTTGAAACAATTTTACCACTTTCTTCTGTGGCTTGACAGGCAATTAAGAAGCGAATGAAGATAGAGATGTCATTGATTATCCATAGAGCTACAACACTTGTTACTAAAAGGTAAGAGATGTTTTCAAGAATGTTGTACGTGTTCAAGAATCTTGATCAGTTTTCTAAGGCTATTTTCTGCACGCTTGGTTAGCACTTTTTGTAGAGCGCCAGACTGCTGTCCGGAAGGTTTAGGGTTCAAGCCCCAGACTGGACCTATGTTCAGGGTCCTGAAATAACTAAGGAGAATATGCTGCTTTTGTCGTGACATCTGCAAGCGGTTAGACTCTTCTTGAATACAGACTTGTCCGTCGCGCGGGAAAAAAAGATGAGCGGAGATAAATATAATGTTAGCGCGCTGCTGGGTGCTCTTGGATTGATGTCGATGCACCGCGCTAGCTCGTCGAGCGTCTCACTCATGGAACTCCTGCGGCGCATCGACGTCACTCCAAGAGCTTCCCGCAGCCTGCTAGCATCAACTTTTTTCCGTTGAATTTTTTTTTTTTTTACTCGCGCAATCGACTTCGCCGTAAAAGAGGGACTTCTCGCATGCTATCTTGGATAAGGAAGACGAACCGTTGACCGCGTATTCTTCATCTCCTCTTTACTGGTTAGCAGGGACGTTAAAGAACCCGCACAAAGAGTTGGGAACGTAGCTCCAGATGTTGTGGCCTGGCCTTATTATTGTTTAAACAAGCCCTCATTTAAACCAGCTGTAAAGCTAAATTGGGCCAGCCCGTCTAAAAATTGCAAATAAATAAATACATGTAAAGGAGTAAAGTTTCCCCCTTCAAATCAGCCCTGTGTGTAACTTGAAATACTTGATGTCTGATAACAGGATTGTCGATATCCCCCAGTTTTTTAGTTTTTCTGATGTCTCTCTCTCTTTCTCTCTTTCTTTTTCATTTTTTCTCTTTTTCAAATTACCTTTTTGGTTCTTGAATAGGATTGGACAACCTGGAGAAGTCATACTTCAACAGGTATTTGCATTTATTTATTACAAGTTGTCTTGGATTTTCAAGAATTTGATACATGTACTCCTTGTTCCAGAAGCATGAATCTATAAGGAATGTAGCTACAGGTACTCCTCCCTAAAAACCTGTTAGTCCTTGCAGATTCCCTCCCCCCCCCCATTTCTCTTCCCTCCTACGGCCCTTTGTTCCCGACACTTTCTCATGTTTTGCAAACAGTTCAAAATGAGCTCTAAATAGAGAAAGATGTTTTTCGTCTTGTCACGAGCGTTGGACCAAGAAAAAATTCTGAGTCCCCATGAGGAATTGAACTTTAGGCTTTCGGATTGCGTGCTCGGGTGCTCTACCCCTGAGTCACAGAGACTCTAGGGTGAGCAAGGCCCATTACGATATTCAAAAGCACTGTTTAATACTCCTCGATGACGAGACACTTGGGAGTCACTGAGAGGGTATGGTCCTGCACAATAGAGCAATTCTCAAGTGAGTGTCGTAACTGAACCAAAAGTTCACGTTAATTTCCCACGCACGAGATTACTGTGTGATGGATGTCCTCCCCTGGGGTGGGATGGGCGGGTTAGGATTGATTGTAAAGCGCTGTTG